CATGGACAGGGGTAGATTAACTTTTCTGGGGGCCCTAAGCTGACATGATTGGAGACACCCCAAACAGGCCAGATTAGCTATTTTATGAGCCTAAACAGAGAGGAGAGAGAATTAAAGACATGTAACGTCAATAATCTGCTAAGCATCGCATGGGATACTGATGGTAAAACTTGCAAGGGTGGGGTGTTACCTGTAAAACTTGACAAGCTGGGCCCTAAGCACAGGGGTCCAGACTGTGTGTGTCCGTACCCCCAGCACTGCGATAGTACACTATGTAGCAGCTCTGCAACACCAAGAGTTCTGCTCCTAATATTATCAATTTATGTCTTTAACATAAGTTTGCCTTAATTAAATTATCCATGTGCATTTTGCTATAGCCCCCCCCCCCCCACACCCCCAGCCCCCCGGCACTCCTCCCTCCCTACTCCTTAAATATTCATGCTGAAAAGAACACATTTATCCTGTGCACTAACATAATGTCAGTGCTGCTATTGTCTCCTGTCAAACTCTTAATCACAGGCTCTGATGGTGATATTTCCCTCATCTCTGCTCATTGCTCACTGCAGTTTTGAAGCTCTGTCATCCGTTGAAGCGATTAGTGACATTTTATGTCGTATCATTTGTCTACTTGACAGCAAGAGTGTGTGAGCTGATTTAGAAAGCAGAAAAGTGACTGGTTCGAATAAGACTATTCATATATACAATGTCATCATTATTGGAAGCTCTACAGAGAATCCAGAGGTATAAATTGGAAAAACCGCCTGTGTGTACTGCTCCATCCTACTTTGGTGCACAGATTCAAATTGACTACCTAGACCTCATTTAAATACATTAACAATCTATTAATGAATTGTACTGCCGGTTGCTTCAGGGAGATTTCGTAATCAGAGCGCAGTGCAATACACAGAGAAAAACCAAGCGATGTGCTATAATGCAACATGACAAAGTACATTCTTATTGCATATTCGATATTTAAAAGGCTCCTGCATATTACTACATATGTAAATTTGTATTTTTACTGCATGGATAAATAACATGGGTATGTTTATTCTATCGAAAAGCAAGCAGCAGTTATGTTTCATATTCTTCATCAGCAGCTCCCAGCTGCATCCTTTCTGTAATATGCTAATATGCTAATCTGCCCATTGTCCTGGGCTCTATGAACATGTAGCCTACATAGTCACTCTCCGTAAATATTGCAGCAGAATGTCTGCTGGACATGGCTGAAGTATGAGGTGTGTGTATCACAGTGGTGCTGTTGTGTTGATACTCACAGTCTTTATTGTGAAAACCTGGTCCTCTTCATTTAGCTTATATACATTTGTAACATGAACTATGTACTTTGGGAAGCAAAATTGTACAATGTGTTGTACTAACAGTAAAATATAAATAGCAACAGAGCTGCCTCACGAGTGGCACAGTGGTGCAGAGGCTAGCATGGCTGAGTCACAGTTCTAGAGGCACAGGTTTGAGTCTTTGCCCTGCTTCTCTGTGTGGGGTTCTTGTCGTGGGGTTACCCCTCATGGTCCAAATGTTTAGATAAACTAGAGTTGCCAAATTATGGGTAAGGTGGTGCTTTGTCCTGTGTTATTACAACTTTGATTGTTTTTAATTTAGCTTTTTATTTTTGTATTATTTTCAACTTTTCAAATATTATTTTCAGTTTTCATTTGAAATCCAGTTCAGTTTTAATTCGGCATCCATGGGAAGGTTTATGCCAGAGTGCTGGAGAGGTGGATCTGTCTGTTGGTCAGGCCTCGGATCCAGGAGGATCAATGCGGATTCCGTCCTGGTCATGGAACGCTGGACCAGCTCTTCACCTTGACGGGATCCTGGAGGGTTCTTGGACATTTGCTAAACCGGTTTACATGTGCTTTATGGACTTGGAAAAGGCATACGATTATGTCCCAGGGAGGGGGTTCTGTGGGGGGGGCTTCGGGAGTATGGGGTACAGGGTCCATTGTAATGGGTCATCAGGTCACTGTTGGAGCAGGAGTTTTTGCTTGCATTGATAGCAGTAAGTCAAATTCATTCCTGGTGGATGTTGGACTCTGCCAGGGCTGCCCTTTGCCATAGATTCTAGACATAACATTTGTGGACAGAATTTCTAGGTTCTAGCCAAGGGGTGGAGGGGGTCCGGTTTGGGACATCAGGATCTTTGCTTTTTATATATGATATGGTTCTGCTGGCTTTATTGAACAGTGACCTCCGGCGTGTGAAACAGTCAGGATGAAGATCAGCACCTCGAATTATGAGGCTAAGGCTCTCAGCTAGAAAAGTATGGATTGCCCCCTCCAGGTTGGGGATGAGTTACATCCTCAAGAGGAGTTCAAGTATCTACAGGTCTTGTTCACAAGTGAGGGAAGAATGGAGCAGGAGATTGACAGGCGGATCGGTGCAGCTTGGGCAGTTTTACAGATATTGCACAGAGTTAGATGGGTAACCGAGAGCTGAGCCAAAAGTCAAAGCTGTCGATTTACCAGTCAATCTCCATTCCTACCCTAACCTGTGATCATGAGCTCTGGGTAGAGACTGAAAGAATGAGATCATAGATACATTTGGTGGAAATGAGCTTCCATCACAGGGTGGCTGGACTCAGCCTTGGAGATTGAGGAGCTCAAAGCAGAGTTACTGGTTTTCCCCATTGAAAAGAACCAGCTGAGGTGCAAAATCTGCAGGTTTAAGCATCTGGCTTGGGTGCATCTTGGACATCCTCCTAAGGAGCTGCATCAGGGATGTCCAACTGACCCTGAGGCCCTAGGACATGCTGGAGATAGATCTCTTGACTAGCTTAGATATCTCCCTGGGGGAGCTGGCTGGGAGGATACTGTATTATTCCCAATGAACTTTTGCCAACCTCATCTTATGCTCTATGAGACACACACTTGTGGGGGGGGCACAATGAAGGGTTGACCAGCATGCAGCACCCCTGGAGCTGGGGGTTAAGGGCCTTGCACAGGGCCCACAGACATCTAACAATTCTGGTGAGCCTGTGCCTTGAACCTGCAGCCTTTTGATCAGAGACACAGAGGCTTAGCCTGTTGAGCCACACACCATCCCTCTAAAGGGAGTCTGAGCATCTCTGTTCAGAATATTTCACCTCATAACCATCACACCAATAAGGAGTAGACAATGGATGGATGGATGCATGCATGTGTCACGACATGTAGGACGAAGTACTCTAAGGTAGACATTGCAATAAAACAAAAGAGGGTTTCGTGAACACAAAGAACAGAGACTAGAAATAAAAAGGATTGTGAGCGATCATAATGGACCAAGGATGGGCAACAGATGGTTTTATATCAATGACTGGACTGGGGAAAACAGGACTGGGAAGCACATATATATGGGACTAATGAAGGAACTAACGAGAGGCAGCACAGAGTGATTTCCATATGAGGGTTATCAACAAGAGGCAAGAAGAGAGGGATACACTTTCAGAAAAAAGGGTAAAAATGTGAACCTTTGTTTGTTACTGGGGCTGTACCCTCAAGGGTCTGCCAATTGTACCCTTAGCTGTAGGTAACTGTACCTTTTAAGGTACAGAAATGGACTCTGAGAAACATTTCTATACCATTGATGGTACATTTCTCAGAGTGTAGGTGTGGCTTGTTGGGGCCATGAGAGGGAGAAGACAGGCAGGGATATGGCATGGATATTTATATAGGGCATGGATATTTATATAGGGCATGGATATTTTAGTTTCAGTTTAAGCTTTACTAATTTTATTTCTAGGGATTTTATGTGTCTGATCTTTATTGAATTCTGCATGAATACACAGTGTACATTGTGTACTAATGTTCTGAAAACATGCAAAACGTTCTGGGTATTATTAATGGTAATTAAACATAAATAAATCATTACTTCAGCTAAACAGTATTTTAAAACGATAACGGAAGGTATTTGACATTTGTTTTTATTTCATTTTAGTTAGTTTCAGAAGCAATATGTATAGTTTTCGTTTATTTCGAAAATGTTTTATTATAGTTTTAGATTTCATTAATGATAACCCTGGGTTATTTCCTGTCTTACTCTCATAGGCTGTTTAGGCTACAGGTTCACATCTAAACATAACGTAACTGTAAAAAAAAAACTGATCCATATGACTGCAAACATCGTTAGATATATTTTTTTTCGTAAATTGCCACTGTAACACGCTCTCGTTTGGGAGGGAAGGGGGGACATACGCGTATAATTACGACGCCCTATATGTCCGAGTCCTTGATTGTCTCCCCCTTTCACCCCATCTTGTCAGGTAGTAGTTCATAGATAATAATGTATTTTTTTTAATTACCAGGTAAAAAAAAACGGTATTTCAACGCTAGAATCGATTCTCAAAATGAAACACTCAGATCAAAAGAATCGGTATTTCACTACCGATCCGCACATCCTTATTGCATAGGACAAGCAGGTACGGAATAAAGATGGATGCATGGTTATTTGTCTCACGCAACTTTGGCTACATTGCTTTTCTTAATATTGCTGCTCCTGATTCCCATAGGAAACATTTTATCTGGTCTATCTGGCTTCTTTTTAGGGGTAGTGATTGCTGTTGTTCGTAGTTGATACATTTGCCTGTTCATAGCACGGGGCAGCCCAAAGTATCAGCCAGCCACAGATTAGCGTTGCTGTTTAATGATGATATAGTTTCACATGCACCTGCACAGCAAAAAACATGTCGTAACCATACAAAGCACGTAATTCAAAGTCAGTTTGTAGTGTCATTGCGCAGCTTTCAGTTATCTACATGATGCCAAATAAAAGATACATTAATGCAACGGTTCAGATAAATAACAGGTTTCTCTAGTTTATTTTCGGAAGTTTTCATTATAGGTACACGTGACCATTATCGGACCCCAGCAACGCCCCAAACTCGCATCGCGCTGCACGAACTATAATGCGTGTCAGGCTGCAACGTGGCGCCTATGGCCGGCTCGCATTACAGGCATGACGGCAACCAATAGCAGAGAGTTTTACATGAAATCAGAAAGACGTGTCGTGTTACCTGAAACCTGAATGGCTGTATGTGAAACGCACGAAATCTGTACTTGGTTGTGTCGGCTAGCGAATGATAGGAATTAACCGGGCACGTTTGAAATGTAAATACAAGTATTAGCTAAGATTTCCAGTAATTAAATGCATGCACCTCAAAAGTAATACAGTATATTTTTATATCGTGGTAGTAGAGCACAGTATAGTTTTCTGTAAGTTTTTGGAGGTGTCCTGGTTTGTGCATAGGACCCAGTAGCGTTTCTTCCAGAGTGACTCTCTCATTCTGGTTTGTGCATTGGACTCAGTTTGCATTTGCTGGCGATGGACGCGTGTGGTTTCGCCTCTTTCATGCTGCTCTTCTCCTGCCTGGTGTCCGGCAAACCCACGCTAAGGAAGGAGCGCGTCCACCACGAAGCCGAGCTCAGCAGACAGCTGCATGAGGACAACCAGAGCTACCAGTACGACCATGAGGCCTTTCTGGGCAAGGAGGAGGCCACTACTTTCGACCAGCTGACACCAGAGGAAAGCAAGGAGAGGCTTGGGTAAGATTACTTTTCAAGAAAGGTTACCAGGTTTTTACACGTGTGACATTTACGTCAAATCTTGATAGCACCTGCTTTTTGAGAATGGCGACTATCTTTAAAGTTTACAAAATGTACAACATACAAACAAGTCTGTTGAGTGGAATTAAGGTATCCTCTGTTAAAATTTAACGACTGATTAATGTGTGTCGTGTGAGAGAACAGACCGACCGGTAAATGAAGGCGAGCTCCCACGCTGGCCTGGCCTCTGGGGACTTACGGTGGGAGGATCGCGACGTGGCGATGATATAAATAATGTTCACATGGTATTACGCGTATCAGGTATCAGCAAACTCCACGATCAAACTCCCATGTTTTTTTAATGTGTCATGTTTTCCTGTGCTGCAGGAAAATAGTGGACAAGATAGACAGCGATAATGACAGATATGTTACAACCAGTGAGCTGAAGACCTGGATCAAAAGGGTGCAGAAGCGCTACGTCTACGAGAACGTGGCAAAGGTCTGGTCAGACTACGATCTCAACAAAGACAACCAGATTTCCTGGGAGGAGTACAAGCAGGCTACATACGGCTATTATCTTGGTAGGATATTGGCAACAGAGAGTGCTCTGCATAAAGAAGCTGCAGTAATGCCTTATGCATTTGTGCTTAGTGACAGCTTTAAAAAGATCTGAAGCTACTCTTTTTAGCTCCAGCGGATAATCTCACAAGCTTTCCCCTATTTATAAGTGTACCAAATGATATTATTGATGGTAATATTTTGTTATTAGTCTACCACATAATCAAGAAATGCAGTGTGTTTTTATAATGATTTGTTTTAAGTGGAATGTGTGAATCAGGGGTTATGTTTTGATCTGGTGAGTTATTAGATAGAGCTACAGTGTCTGCTTTGTCCACAGCCAACCCAGAGGAGTTTGATGATGCCACTGATCAGTTCAGCTTCAAGAAGATGCTGCCCCGTGACCAGAGGCGTTTCAAAGCGGCCGACCATGACGGTGACATGAACGCCAGTCGTGAGGAGTTCACAGCCTTCTTGCACCCAGAGGAGTTTGAGCACATGAAGGACATTGTGGTCCTGGTGAGTCAGATCATTTACAGATTCTGCCCAGCCGTCCTGTAGGGGCCGTCACAGGCCAAGGGTAACAGTGTTGGTATGGTGCCCACAACAAAGGAAGTGATCCACCCCAGTTCCTCAGAATATACACCACCTTTACTGGACCTAGGCAAATGGGCAATTTGTATTCCCCTCTGTTCTTTAAGTGGGGCGTTCTGTGGTCCCAAACCCCTTCTTTTCCATAAAATGTGTAAAATCCCATGGCAAACACAAAACCTAATGCACCAGGCTTCTAAAATCATAACATTCATAACACTCATGTTAAGTATTCATGATTACAAAAATGTTACTGTTAACCCTAACAGAGAAAAAGCTGAGATTTTCTTACTATGATGATCTACATTTCCTGTTTAAAATTGATATTCCATCTTCCCAGGAATGAAACTTTGTAAACTTAATGCAATGCAAAACTTTTTGAGCATATTGTGTGCTAACCGGGTAGTTATGTCCTGGATGTTTCATTTCCAATTTTTTTTTAAGTGAAGTGCTTTCCATTTGGATATGGGAATATCGCTCTGGAGCTTTACATGCACATACTGTCGCTACCCTGACTCTGTGACTCTAAGGAGCTGTCCTTGTGCACGGCCAGTGTGTGTATGTGCAAAGGGTACTGTGCTGAAAAGATCAATTTATGTCACAATAAGTAAAAATGCAAAACAACATTGTGAAAGAGGAGGGGTTTCGATTTGAAATGACCGTGGGAGGAGAACCAAAACTACCATGGGCCAAGGAGAACCATGGGTGTCTCGGTTCCCAAGTGAAAGTTTCAGTCATTTGTTTTGTGACTCTGAGTTGCTCTGCCTCGGACTGTGTTTTGGTCATTTGTAACTCTCAGCTTCTCTGCCTCAGGATGTGTTTTGGTCGTTCTTTGTGACTCTCAGCTCCTCTGCCTCAGGATGTGTTTTGGTTTGTTCGTTTGTGACTCTGAGCTGCTCTGGCTCAGGCTGTGTTTTGGTCGTTTGTGACTCTCAGCTCCTCTGCCTCAGGATGTGTTTTGGTCGTTCGTTTGTGACTCTCAGGTTGCATCTGCTTGCTTAACTTTCTTCGCATTCGTTGTAGGCTGATGTTTCACCTTTAAATGAGGTTTTTCATTATATTCAAAGTACATTTTCTTGAAGATAGAGGTAGTCTGTTTCGAACAGAGTGATTCTGTACCAAAGTGAGTACAAAATATGGCAATGTAACTTACATAGCAACAAAAATAAATATTTTTCCTTGTTCATTTTTGACAGGTGAAATGGAAATTACATTGTAGCACAAACAAGCAATTCAGCCAGGTGACATAGTATTACATTGTTTGAAATGATCAAATTGCACTGGAATTGCAAATTGCAACTGAACCAAAGTATGAGAATGGATATTGTTGCCACCTCAGAAAAACATAATATGGATGAAGATCTACACCTTCATTTCATTTAGAGAAACTTGCACTAAAAATGAAACAGTGTCACTTAAACTGGCACATGAAAAGACAAAAGATGCAGATCTGGTGAACCTGATTACATTGAGAAAAGTCATTCAAAGTTTGGCTCTTATGGAAATTTTTTTGGAGAGGTGGAAAGAGTATGTAGGAGGGCTAGAGACTGGGGAGTGTGGGAGGAGTAAGGATTAGATGGCAAGTGGGGTTCACGGGGCTGTCTGGGGAATACATTGTTGTCATTGCCCCATATACCTCTGAAGGGGATCTAATGGCATTTAACTGCATCTTACTACCAAACTATTTAACAGGTCAGTGTTCATGGTCACTGATATTTATCACATAATAAAAACAGTCCCCTAGTAGTGTATTGTCATTAATTCAAATAATTTGATGTGCATTCCTTGGCTGGTTCTCTGTCTGATGAGTCTTTGAACTTAAAGGTATTTAACTGACTTCATAGAGGAGTGTGGCTCTGAGACTTTGTCTTCTAGGTACATTTTGGTAACTGGCTTTATTTGCGCCTGTTTAATGTTGTACATAAGAACATAAGAAATTTACAAACGAGAGGGGGCCATTCGGCCCATCAAGGTCATTTGGGGAGAACTTAACTAATAGCTCAGAGTTGTTAAAATCTTATCTAGCTCTGATTTAAAGGAACCCAGGGTTTTAGCTTCCACTACACTAGCAGGAAGACTATTCCATACTCTAACTACACGCTGTGTAAAGAAGTGCTTGTACTTGGTTCTATCTCACTGTCTACCGTTCGCCCTCCTTTGATTGTCACACTGTCCTACTGCTCTGTCACACAGGCACCCACCCACACACACAGTAGCCTTATCCTGCACTAAAAGCAGCCGTTATACTTTATACTCATCTTTTTTTTTGGCAGAGGTGGTGTGGGTGAAAAAAAAAGAAAAGAGCGATCAATTTCTGTAGTTTCCTTTATTAAAAAATCTCTGATTACCCTCGTTGTGTGCAAATTGTGGGCAAGCTGTTGGCTTCTGGATAAATTGACACATTAAAAAAAGCTTAACGCGCTGTCCTGGGAGCTGTACGCTGATCCCTGGCATGGCTGTGCTTATATTAAATGCAAACACACAGATTTATCACAATGCATGTTCAAGCGTGAAATGTTAGCACCATCAAATGGCTTTGCTAAAACGCACTCGCAGATTGCATCTGTCATGTAGCCCCGTAATTGCTGTGTTCGACTGGCTTCTGCAGGGGCCGCATGCCTGTGTTCTCCGCGTCAGGGTCACACCCCAGGGATGGCATCCTCACAGCATCTCTCTCCGTCTTTGCAGGAAACACTCGAGGACATAGACAAGAACGGGGATGGCTACGTGGATGAAGATGAGTACATCGGTATGTTTGCGGGTTCTACCTAAGCCCATGAAAGGCGATGGGCCGGTTTCTTTGTGCTGGCTGCTTTTGGAATGACGGTAATGGCCATAAAGGCCTATCAGCTTCTTCTGCCTTTGAGCCTGAGTTATTGTCTTAATGACCCTTTGCAGAGTAAATCTGCGGCAGAGGCAGTTGTGCTTATCTGTGGTGTCCCTCACTTTGTGTTATCGGGGACAATGTCTGCTCTCGATGGCTGGGCTCTAAGCCACCTTCTCTGTCTCCCGAACCACAAATGCAAGACTTATTTCTTTACTGCGAGCTAATTAGAATTATCTTAATGCACAGGAAGACAATTAATAGCTTACTGCAGGTCAGTGATTAAAAATTACCTGATAATGACCCTTAGCAGTTAACGGCGGAAGGAGGAAAAAATGATGACAGCTCTCATCTGCTGGCTGATGCCTATTTAGGAGGCCCAATTGGAACGCACGCCATGTGCCGGCAACACAATGGACAAGTACCATTTCCACTGTAATTAAAGTCCATTCAGGGAAATTACCTCCATATAATTACTAGCTGGTTGTCAGCATTTGTTATAGCCTGAACAAGTGTTGTCTCCTGGCTGGAAGCCTGAACACAGTGGATGTGCCTTTGCAGAGGCCCCGTGTTGAGGGTCTGCCACCAGGTCGGGGGCATGCCGGTGCCCATGTCACTCCTCCCCCGGGAGACTGGTCTGGTCTGGCCTTGATGGGGAAGCAGATTGTAACTTTTGTCTGGTGGATGTTGTTAGTTTTCCTAATGTGCTGTGTGGAGCAGTAAGCAACTAAATATTAAAAAATGCGATTCACATCATATCAGACGTGTCAACAGCCGCATTAGCAGAATGGCTAACATGGGCGTCTGTGTTGCGTGTTACAGCTGATATGTTTGCTCACGAAGAAGGTGGACCAGAACCAGACTGGGTAAAGACGGAGCGAGACCAGTTTTCAGACTTCAGGGACATCAACAAGGATGGGAAGATGGACAGAGAGGAGATCCGGCACTGGATCCTGCCCCAGGATTACGATCACGCCCTGGCTGAGGCACGGCATCTGGTTTATGAGTCGGATCAGGACAAGGTGCGGACAAATGCGTTGGGGGGTTGGGAGGTGTCCTATAGGCTCCTCGGTCTGCTCTAGCGGGCTCAGGTGCTGTGGTTTCGGAGCGCGTTGCAGTGTGTAAAATGCCTATAGACAGACGTGTCACCTGTCTGTTTACAGGATCAAATGCTGACCAAAGAGGAGATCCTGGAGAACTGGAACATGTTTGTAGGCAGCCAGGCTACCAACTATGGGGAGGATCTTACTAAGAACCACGACGAACTGTGATGTTTGCGGTGGCGCCCCCTGCTGCTAGCTGCTCCACACTACAGGCAGAAGAAATGACACCGGTGCTGATTTTGGGCAGCCCGTGCAGCCATGAGCTTGCTGCAGTGCTACCTCATGCGTCAAAGGGTCTATGTGGCCCATCGGCGCCTCCTGTAGGTCACAGCGACCTTTTCCTATCTGTGAGATTGACTAACGTCTCCAAGGACTAACCAGCAATCATTTTACATGTTCCAGGTTGACACCCTCAGGATTTCTGGGGTGTTGCAAAGGATATTTGTAGATATTTCATATTTGTTACATATTTTTATATTTTAATTCTGAAAGGTTATGTGAAATATCTCTGGTAGGAATGCAGAGGGGTCTTTTGATATTTGTGCCATGCTGCCAGTAAACACTAATTTATTTAGTGCTTTAATCTTGAGGTTACATATGAGTTGATGATCTAAAGTCATTACTGATGTGCAGTATTTTACAAATGTTTGTTTTTCACACTGCCATGTATTTTCTTCCACAGTTAAGTATTATTAATGATAACATTGAAACTCTCCCAGAGTTAAAATCTAAGTGTAACATTGGGTCCCCAGCATGCAGTTGCATTGGTTTCATTTTATCACAGAAAAAAGTCTTACTTCGTTCTCTACTCTTTGCTATTTTTCATGTTTGGTGCTGAAGCAGAGTGCTTTGTTTCCTGGGAGCTGCGTGTGGCGGCTGGCTCTCTGAGGATGAGTGTCCTGGGAAGCCCCCCCCCCCCCCTCCGCATTACCCCGCAATACCTTTCATGTTAACGTCTGTTTTTCTCTGTACAGCGCTCACAGAAAGTCTTGGGATGCTTGCTTAATTCAGTAAGACCATTGCAAATTTACTGGTTTTATAACAATTTTTTCCCCATTTCTTATAAAAATATATATCACTTTAGGAACAACAGTAGTTATAAGTAAAACATTCATTTCAAATAATAAATTGAAGCCCAAATTAGAGTTGTAAAAGAGCTGTTCTGAGTTAAAAAGTTAATTGACAAGCAGTCTCATTGATTGCTTTTTTAATTAGTAACACCTTCGCAATAACATAGAACACCAAACATTTGTGTTTAGTATCTCTTTGGGAGCCAGTGACTACAATTGCTATTAATAGCAAAATGGCAAGAACAGAATTATATGACTCCGTCAAAACAACTGATGCTTAATGAAAAGAAAATGTTTGTGCAGAAGATATGTGCAGATCTGTTAATCATTGCTTGTCAATGGATTGTTGTTATGAAACCAATAAATCTTAACATAATTAAGCAAGTGTCCCAGTTCTTTATATGAGCACTCTATGTAAATAATAACATGAGGCCAGATTATAGAGACAATGTGACCACAGTAATGGGTTTCCCCCAAACTGTGCTGCTGTACGGTGGCTCTGACTCGTAGCCTTGTGTCATCCAGCATTGCTGCTGTGGTACTGGTCGCAATGAGAAGTTCTGGGAAGGTGGAAGCAGCAGGTGCTGCCAGAGCCAGTGTGGGGCACGGGGTCTCCATCGGGCTCGGGGATTATAAGTTAAGTGCTCCGCAGGCATACAGAGTGTCCCCTCACACCCGTGTGCATGCGAGCAAACGTCACGTGGAAGCTGCCTGCCTGGTAGCGCCCGCCGTTACCCTGTGGCAGTGATCATACGATCCAGGGGAATGTCGAAGTTGCTGGATCTCTCCAGTGCTGCTTCTGACTTACAGGTGACTGCACATTTGTGATGGGAGGTTGTGGGCTGGATCCTCTTGGGATCCGTCTCTGCTCTCTGTGTCTGTCCACTCCAATTAAACAGTCTCCAACAAAATGAAAAGACCTAAATTCAGCCTGTCCTTTTCAAAATAAACGGGAATAATGCAGTGGTTGAAATTCACAGGCAAACGCAAATTAATTTTTGAGCCCAAGACACACTGTGGTTTCAGTACAGTAATGCTTCAGACAGGCAGCATTTTAAAATTCAGATGAAAACAGAACGACTTTGCCCTACCTCACAAAATGACAGCCCAGACATGGACCGGGCTTGCTGTCCTCTGCGTATTAATGTAAATGTCACAGCATGTAGTGTGAAATCTTTCATTATTATTACAATTTCCTTTGCACAGAAGTAAGACTCTTATTTCACAAACAAGTGTTCTCTGTTTAAATGAATTACCCAGAAATATAATTTTATTATATTTTGAAGCTTAAGGGCTTACACAATAATGAAAGGTCATGTCTCACTGTTTGGTACAAAGCATCTCATCTGCATGTGTCATATGTGACATATATGTGACATACACGCTCAGCGTGTAGTGATAAGCTTTGAAAGCCAGCGCTCACTAACGCAGGTTAAACTGCACAGTGGGATCTGGGCTTCACGCTCCCATTCCAGTTTGCTTATTTCCCTGAGAATTCAAGCATTTAAATAATTTGACTGCCGGATGGCAGTGTTTCTTAATGGGTCCTGACAGGGAACACAGCTTATCGCTTTCTGCAGAGTGTCCTGATTGTGTGGGAGGCAGCAGCCGGCTGAAAATGAGCAACTTTACCGTGCTGTTATTTTTAAATGTGACTCAATTTAAGATGAGTATCAAATAATTCAGGCTGGGCTAATTTAATGACTGCGGACAGGTCTTGTATGAATGTCTTTGTAAATCACGCCGTTGCTCCCATAAAAATTAAGGAGTCTGTCTGAGGAGCATGATAATGTAATAAATTATATTTTAATTTGAATATTAATATTTGAATGCAGCGTCCTCCATATGGGCCATTTCTGTTGTAATCAGGATATTGGGATAATTTTGTTAATGGGATTTAAACTGGGATGAGGTCAGGGTGGCCTCTTGCTTTGGGTCTGCGTGGGCAGTCAATCCACTAAAGCAGAAAAGGAGTAAACACACAAAGCCAGTTTGTAGGGGTCTAGAATGAGCTGGATTTAAATTTAGATAGCTGACGTCTTGATGGATCACAAGAGATCAGTCTGTAGGATCTGTATGACGGGAGTGATGTACAGAGATTGTCACTGCTGCAAGTGAAACTGACTGAACAGGAAAAAGGCACAACAAAAAGGGAAATGCATTTGTAGCAGCTACAGCGAAACATGCTAAAGATCCCATTGCATTTAGGAGCTGATCTGAAGGATGGAGAGCGGGAGATGAATGCGGCAGGTTCATGCTGATGTCCTGTTCCTGGAATCATCTAAAAGTTTAGTGGTGCAGCAGCTCTCCGTGAAATCACAGGCTGCTTTCCTCTACTCAATCCTGCAGCTCCAGAAGATGCTCAGGATGGTGGCCTTCCTTCCTGGGTTCCTCCTGCCTGTCACAGTTGTCACATTTAAGGACACACCACCACACCCGTGTGAGTTAAGCACATGCCATGAATCCTCACACCGTTCCTACTGCAACAGCGACCTTCTTTGGGAGGATGGAACTATGCCACTCAATCTTCTGCATCCCTGCTTCCTGGGCTGAATAATTCCCCAGAAAGTGGAGAAATCGTGAGTTTGGTAGGTGGGGGGGGGGGGGGGGGGGGTCCATTTGTGTGTGGTTATTTTTAAAGACAGCACAATTCCAGCAGAGCCACGTTCACCGCGTGCAGAGCGATGGTTCAAACACTACAGTGGACCCCCCCAACCCCCACCCCCATACTGCCACCTTATTTACATGTGCATCAGATGAAGCTGGTAATTTGCTTCTTAAATCAAAGCAAGAATAGCCTAAATAAATTCAAGGGGAGATATTGCAGTATTACAGACTATATATTAAGACATTAATAACCTTAATAGAAATCTAGGGTTATTAAAGCATAAATTTAATATAGGGAGGACATGATAATACATTAACTTATGGTGTAGATTTGCATTAGCTCAAGGTGAAAAATGACCAGTTAGGACTGCAATTTTATGTTACAGAGATCCCTTGTAAAATATTACCACATACATGGGCTGCACGTATATTAATGCTTTTTATGAAGCATTTGCATACTGTGAAGCTCCCCCTTCTGTGAGGTCACAGAAAATGAGCCTTAAGAAACAGACACTAATAATCACACGTGCGAAGCTGAGGGGACCGTGAGGAAATTGGAAGTTTCATAGCAAATCCCCACCGTGCAGGAGGCTGATTTCTAGAGGGTGACAAGATGATCTGCATGCGGACAGAAGGGCGCTCACCCACATGGCCAGTGATTACTGTCTGCTGAATGGAGGATTAGTGTTATTCTATGGGGTCTGACAGCTACATAAATGCAGCATAGACGAAGTAAAACACTGTGCAAAAAAAAAACAATAAACAGTAAAATTCTGGAGCCACGGCCAAATATGAAAATAAAAATAGAATGATAGTTTATTGATCGCAGTGGGGAAATTCCTGTTTTGCCACAGAAGAGAGGAAGCTTGGGGGTGACAGTGAAGGGCAGACACCTGCAGCACGAGTGGAGCTGGGGGTTAAGGGCCTTGCTCAGGGACCCATGGATGTATGACTATACTACCAAGGCCAGGCTCAAGCCAGCGAGCTTCTGATCACTGGTTTAAAGGCTTAGGCCACTGTGGCACACACTGAAAATGCTATATTACAGTATCTTAAAGACATTTTGCAATAAAGGTTTTATTAACTCAATGAACGAAGCCTGTTAATGACAACTGAAAACAAACAAAGCGATATGTCCACTTCAGAAACATGACAGCTGGTTCGGTTATATAAAAAGCCCGACCTGAGAAGATACAATGAATTCCTTTCTATTCTTCTGGATCCACTGTCTAAGGTGCCCAACTGCTTCCTTTTAAGACATATATGAAGTATCTGCATCTATGACAATTAAGCTGAAACTTTCTGGAAGGTGCGTTGACAGAGACATGGATGCCTGGCAGAATAAATCTTCAGTGAAGCGTCTGTAAATTTCAGGGCAATCAGAAGTCTTGGACCAAGCTTCTCTGTCACAGGCTTCAACTCCCCCTGGTGGTAAACTGACTGACATGCGCAGCCATATTTTGAATGACAGGGTTCAAAGTGGTGCTTGTCTGCCACGGCAAAGCTTTCCTTTTACATCATGAATTTTTATATGCCCATTAGCCAGTCCAGCAGCAAGGAGGCGAATGCTTCTCTCCCTTGATGACTACACAATGAGGGGCAATAAATTTTAATTTAAACACCATAAACCTATTGAGTGCTTAATTAACTTTAACCGTCTTTGGGGGAATGAAGCCAATTTGGAGAGGGTCATGAGGACTTCATTCAATATCAAACAATTTTACATAGTTGATCCATTCATTGGGCCTTCAGCAGCTGATTAACACACAGAATTAACATGTTGGTAAAATTCATATTGCTTTCTCCTGGGACATTAATATGCACATGCACAGAGCATGATTAGCACACCCATTGTCTTATTTCAACAATATCATTTAATGACGTTTACAGAGACAAAATGGGGCAGATGAGGTTGGATTCATCAGACTGTAATTTTCTGGAGGTTCTGGAAACTGCAAACAATGCAGCCAATATGAAGACCCTACAACATTCCTGTTCATGCTGGAGTGTCCAAGGACATATTGTGGTGCAGCGCGCTGTCATTTCCTGCCTGCAGTTAAAATGCATGCTTAACATAACTGCAAATATGGCACCATGTGAGGTATCTAAAGTGACTTAAAGGAATCTGTCCCCTTGACCTGGGAATTTGTCTGGTCCCGGGAAAACATGCCTCCATTTTCATACGAGGTCCCTTTCTGCTCTTCTTTACAGTCTTCCTCTCACTCTTCCTCTTGATCTTCCTCTCGCTCTTGCTACCCTTCTTATTCTTCCTCTCAGTCTTCCTCCTGCTTTTCCTCCCAGTCTTCCTCCTGCTTTTCCTCCCACTCTTCCTCCTGCTTTTCCTCCCTCTCTTCCTCTTGCTGTTCCTCTCACTTTTGCTCTTACTACCTTTCTCGCTCTTCTTCCCGCCATTTCTTCCACTCTTCCTTCCACACTTCTTCATGCTCTTCCTCCTGCTCCTTCTCTCACTCTTCCTCCTTCTCCTTTTCCCACTCTTCCTCCTCTCATTGTTCTTCCTGATCTTCTTCTTTCTTCCATCTGTTTTTCCTCACACTCTTCTTCCTGCTTTTCCTCTCACTCTTCCTCTCACTCTTCCTGCTGCTCTTCCTCTTCTTCTTCCTGTGCTTCCTCCTGTTCTTACTCCTCCTCTTCCTCTCTTTCCTCCTCCCAATCTTCCTTCTACTTTTCTTCTTGCTCTTGCTTTCACTACCTTTCTCACTCTTCTTCCCACTCTTTCTTCCGCTCTTCCTCCTCTCACTGTTCTTCCTGCTCT